GCCTGTCGCTACTCTGAACATGTACATAGTGTATATATAGATGTTAACTAGATCAAAATTGATGACAAAAATGAAAACAGTTCAAAACATACTTAGCAAATAAACACATTGTCTTAATTACTGATGCTGATCCAAAACAGCTGTTTCTTCACAGTACAAGTTTCCCATATCTTGTGTTGGCCCCTGTGAACTAGGCAACTGTAGTACAGACAATGCTAATTACCGGAGTATCCATCACCCAACTGGTGTCAAATACTGAGAACCTGATCTCCAGTAGTAGTTGTAGGCTATACTTTAACCCCCTCCTTCCCCAAACCAGTCTCACCCTCACCCCACCCCACCCAACTAGTGTCAAATACAGACCCTGATCTCCAGTAGTTGTTGTAGGCGATACTTTAACCCCCTCCTCCCCTAAACCAGTCTCACCCTCACCCCACCCCACCCAACTAGTGTCAAATACAGACCCTGATCTCCAGTAGTTGTTGTAGGCGATACTTTAACCCCCTCCTCCCCTAAACCAGTCTCACCCTCATCCCACCTCACCCCACCCTCACTGTCAACCTTCTCCACTGGTTGTACAGCACTTCTATAAATCAGTGTTATTAATTTGCCATTTATTGCGGCATCTCCATTACATTCGGAAGTAATATTAACATTGATGTTTATTATTGGATATTAGAGCACATCTCGTTGACCATATGTGTTTGCTTATAGCATCAAAGCTTATGCCACGGACCAGTTGTTGGTGCTAACCTACTTATAATGTAGGCATGTGAGTAACGCCTACATACTTCTTTATTGCTTTCATTAATGATGGATCACAAGACATATTATTTGTAGCTCATCAAAGGATCAGAAATAAAAGCTTAAAGAAACTTCCATGACATGTATTAACCTCAGCAGTAAATAACATGGGCAACACATGTTGTATGTGTGTACTTGATTGTTGGATACTGAATTTGGGTTAGAACCAAAAATAAAGAATATGGAAAGTGCTCTCATGGAAAAAACAGAAGTTTATCTCAAACTGGAATCTTGTTAACCTTTTGCATGGAGGTTCAAGAGTAATGAAGAAAAAACTGTGGCATGCCTTGTGGAATTGTTTGAGTACAAAGTCTGTTCAGTGATGAGATGATGTTGTGGCACCTCTGTCTCTGATCCTGTGACGGAAGGAACACTTTGTCAGACGTACACTTCAGGTGGGCCATTGTTATCTCGGGCAGACATTGTGCTGCGGACGTGTTCTTGAAGGAAATCACACACAATTCACTCACTCAAAATCCAAACTCTCATTATCATACAAAATGACAGTTTGTGCAGGAGTGTTTGGAAACGGTGTTGCTTGGCAATTAGCCCTGCCAGCAGCAGCACCAGCTTCATGGCAGGGGACACTAAGATAAGGGTGCTATAGGTGGGAGTGAATGAGTCAGTGAGTATGGTTTCATGTCAATGTTCTCAATGTTCCAGAATCATCATGGCAGGAGACAACAGAAATAAGCTTCACAAATTGTACCCATTTGGGGAATTGACCCCTTGTCTATGGTGTGATGAACAAAAGTGTTTACCACAAGGCTGAGGTGAGTGTTTGAGGTGTGTGTTTGAGGTGAGTGAGTGTTTCAGGAGCGTGTTTGAGGTGAGTGAATGTTTGAGGTGAGTGTTTGAGGAGCGTGTTTGAGGTGAGTGTTTGAGGAGCTTGTCTGAGGTGAGTGTTTGAGGAGAGTGAGTGTTTGAGGAGAGTGAGTGTTTCAGGAGCGTGTTTGAGGTGAGTGAGTGTTTGAGGAGAGTGTTTGAGGTGCATGTTTGAGGTGAGTGTTTGAGGAGCTTGTTTGAGGTGAGTGTTTGAGGAGAGTGAGTGTTTGAGGAGAGTGAGTGTTTGAGGAGAGTGTTTGAGGAGCGTGTTTGAGGAGCGTGTTTGAGGAGCGTGTTTGAGGTGAGTGTTTGAAGTGAGTGTTTGAAGAGAGTGTTTGAGAAGAGTGTTTGAGGAGAGTGTTTGAGGTGAGTGTTTGAGGTGAGTGTTTGAGGAGAGTGTTTGAGGTGAGTGTTTGAGGTGAGTGTTTGAGGTGAGGAGAATTTGTATGCCTTTCTTTGGCTTTATGAGACAATGAGTGAGTGAATAAGAGAAAAAGAAGGAGTCTGTAAGCAAAGGAGAAGATCAGTCCCTCCTGCAAGTGTTTAGTAGTTGACGTCAATGTGGATCAGACCACAAGACACTGTCACTCATGGACTCCTATCACCAGTAAACAGCACTGAGTCACTGTCACTCATGGACCCCTATCACCAGTAAACAGCACTGAGTCACTGTCACTCATGGACTCCTATCACCAGTAAACAGCACTGAGTCACTGTTAGTCATGGCCTCCTGTCACCAGTAAACAGCACTAAGACACTGTCACTCATGGCCTCCTATCACCAGTAAACAGCACTGAGTCACTGTCACTCATGGACTCCTATCACCAGTAAACAGCACTGAGTCACTGTTAGTCATGGCCTCCTGTCACCAGTAAACAGCACTGAGTCACTGTCACTCATGGACTCCTATCACCAGTAAACAGCACTGAGTCACTGTTAGTCATGGCCTCCTGTCACCAGTAAACAGCACTGAGTCACTGTCACTCATGGACTCCTATCACCAGTAAACAGCACTGAGTCACTGTCACTCATGGCCTCCTATCACCAGTAAACAGCACTGAGTCACTGTCACTCGTGGACTCCTATCACCAGTAAACAGCACTGAGTTACTGTCACTCATGGACTCCTATCACCAGTAAACAGCACTGAGTCACTGTCACTCAAGGCCTCCTATCACCAGTAAACAGCACTGAGTCACTGTCACTCGTGGACTCCTATCACCAGTAAACAGCACTGAGTCACTGTCACTCGTGGACTCCTATCACCAGTAAACAGCACTGAGTCACTGTTAGTCATGGCCTCCTATTACCAGTAAACAGCACTGAGACACTGTCACTCATGGCCTCCTATCACCAGTAAACAGCACTGAGACACTGTCACTCATGGACTCCTATCACCAGTAAACAGCACTGAGACACTGTCACTCATGGCCTCCTATCACCAGTAAACAGCACTGAGTCACTGTCACTCATGGACCCCTATCACCAGTAAACAGCACTGAGTCACTGTCACTCGTGGACTCCTGTCACCAGTAAACAGCACTGAGTCACTGTCACTCATGGACTCCTATCACCAGTAAACAGCACTGAGTCACTGTCACTCATGGACCCCTATCACCAGTAAACAGCAATGAATCGATGTCACTCATGGCCTCCTATCACCAGTAAACAGCACTGAGTCACTTGAGGCACCGCCCTCCCCATCTCACCTGGAAGGAGGACAGTAACCTGCAGGTGTTACAAGAACTGACATGGACACAACACTACCCCAGCACTGAGTCACTGTTAGTCATGGCCTCCTATCACCAGTAAACAGCGCTAAGACACTGTCACTCATGGCCTCCTATCACCAGTAAACAGCACTGAGACACTGTCACTCATGGACTCCTATCACCAGTAAACAGCACTGAGACACTGTCACTCATGGCCTCCTATCACCAGTAAACAGCACTGAGTCACTGTCACTCATGGACCCCTATCACCAGTAAACAGCACTGAGTCACTGTCACTCGTGGACTCCTGTCACCAGTAAACAGCACTGAGTCACTGTCACTCATGGACTCCTATCACCAGTAAACAGCACTGAGTCACTGTCACTCATGGACCCCTATCACCAGTAAACAGCAATGAATCGATGTCACTCATGGCCTCCTATCACCAGTAAACAGCACTGAGTCACTTGAGGCACCGCCCTCCCCATCTCACCTGGAAGGAGGACAGTAACCTGCAGGTGTTACAAGAACTGACATGGACACAACACTACCCCAGCAGGTGGAATCACTTGTACATTGTCACATTTCATTCTTACCAGTACTGGCCTATCTATAGGCTGCGGCACATGACATTTAACGGCTGCCAAATTACAATATGAGTAGATATGGAAGATAAAGCTTTTAGCAAAATTTACTGGTTGGGCAGAAGCCAAGCATGGCTGCCATTCACATATTAAACATTCATCTTGCGTGATGTATTTGAAAGTGTTGCATGCATTACTGATACTTTAATGTCTATCTTGGACAGAAAGCCTGTCAGATAGAGCAAGTTCGTCTATATATATAGCCTCTATACTGCCAACAAGGGTTCAAATGCCTGTGACATTCAAAAAGACTTTAAAACACTGGTGCTTAGACATGGCATCATGCATCTAGATCCAAACATTGCCGCTGAATGGAATCATTTAAGCTGTCAGACGTCAAATTATGTTTATAAACCTATAATTTCTTCTGACTTTTACTGGATATTGCTGCTGTACGAAGACTGAACCGCCTGTTACTAGATACTGCTGAAGTACAAGGTCTGAACAGCTGGTTACTAGATACTGCTGCAGTACAAGGTCTGAACAGCTGGTAACTAGATACTGCTGCAGTACAAGGTCTGAACAGCTGGTTACTAGATACTGCTGTAGTACAAGGTCTGAACAGCTGGTTACTAGATACAGCTGAAGTACAAGGTCTGAACAGCTGGTTACTAGATACTGCTGCAGTACAAGGTCTGAACAGCTGGTTACTAGATACTGCTGCAGTACAAGGTCTGAACAGCTGGTTACTAGATACTGCTGCAGTACAAGGTCTGAACAGCTGGCTACTAGATACAGCTGAAGTACAAGGTCTGAACAGCTGGTTACTAGATACTGCTGCAGTACAAGGTCTGAACAGCTGGTTACAAGATACTGCTGCAGTACAAGGTCTGAACAGCTGGTTACTAGATACTGCTGTATAAAAGATGTTGTGTTAAATATGTCAAATGTCTGTGTGTATCAGGTGTAGAATGAGTAAACTCCTGATTTTGAAACATCCTTTGTGGACTACCATACTAGCCAGTATAATTTGGCAGTGTCTCCTTTGTCTAGTGGTACATGAAGTGAGGACTGACCTGTGGGTTCCAGGCTGTGCCTGTGGTATGGAACTGCTTGATGTAAGCCTGCAGCTCAACTAAGGTCTTGTTCCACGACCTTATCCACTCCACATGCTGCGGATCCCTACACAACCAAGGGAAACAATTAGCCATATAGCCAAAGCAATGTGAATCATGCTAAAAAACGTTTATGATTTGGCTGTCAGAAATGTTTAACTTTGACAGCATATGTTGCCATTACTTAGGCAAGTAATAAAAACTTGTTTCTGAACATAAATTGTTACTGCCACAAATCAGCAAGAAGAATAAGCCTAAAAACTGTCCCAATCATCACACTGGTTTTATTTTACCAGTAGAGTATAATTACTTTACCATGAGAATACAGAACCACCTTTCACTTTTTCAAGTAGGAAAGTCACATTGTACAAGTGTCTCTTCTATAAATCCCAAAACCCAACGTTACTGACAATCGATAATACCGTATTCGACGTAATAAGCGCCCCGCTCTAATAAGCGCCCACAGCGATATTTGCTAATATATTGGCTAGTGAACAATCCCAGTCACCACCCCTTCCGATTGATCAGTGTACACAAGACTTATTTATTCATGCATAATCGCATTTGGGTGTTATATCACCCTTAATTAAGGGCAATTAAATTCTTGAAAAATATATCTGTCGTTTGTAAACATTTCAGGCTGTTAGCATAAACCACAAAATTTACGATCTTTCAACTCAAAATAAAATTCTAATAAGCGCCCCCTATTTCTAATTTTGAGAGTGCCCTGGGCGCTTATTATGTTGAATACGGTACTCACTTTTCCTTGAACTCCTTCAGCACCCTGTTCCCATAGAACATCCCAGAATCGGCTAACTCCTTGACATAGGGGCCTGGCTTGGGCGACTGAAACACAAACATCATATGGTTAATTGGCCTTTTTCCCAACACCGACAGCAAAACTCACGCATAACTAAGCTTTATGTAAATAAGCAAGTCGCTGATAACATGAACAACAATCCACTCAGTCAGGGCACACATTGTGACCACCCAATCATCGTCAAAGTGACTGAGTGAGTGATCGAGTGAGCTTACGGCAATATTTCAGCAATAACATAGCAAGGGTGTGCTTCACACATCGTACCGATGTTGGGAATCAAACAGAGGTTTTAGGAAACAAGCAAATGATACCCCACTGGCCACCCTTGTTTAAATAGGATTTCACAGCAAGTACCGGGTGAATCAGGTATTCTTGGAACCCGTGGAGGTTAATGATATGGTTCAAACATATGTTTAAATAGTTTACTTTCAGTCCATGTAAAATGAACAAATAATGCGTGAATCTAATCAGATATTATTTCATGATGAAATATGCAGGAGGAATATGCTCATGTATGAATAGATGTGAGAACCACATTTCTCCAATAATTTTCTTCTGAAAAAACTAACAAACAAATTTCACATAATAATTTCTTGAAAATCAGTTTCTTAGATAACAGTATATGTAAAGAGAGTGAGCAATTGCAGTCTACGTCAGAAAACTCACCACATTCACCCATCCTAATGCAGGAACACACTCGCTGATGGTGGACAAGTGGTTGAAGAAGGGACTGTTTCGGTTCTTCTCGCGGAAATCCTTAAATAAACAAGAAAATGTTGTGAATAATATTCATAATAAAGAAATATGATTTTGGTATGGTTTGCTGTTTTACGCCGCACTCAGCAATATTCCAGCTATATGACGGCGGTCTGTAAATAAAAGAGTCTGGACCAGACAATACAGTGATTTACATCATGAACATCGATCCACGCAATTGGGATCGATGACATGCATCAACCAAGTCAGCGAGCCTGACCACCCGATCCCGTTAGTCGCCTCTTACGACAAGCATGGGTGAAGACCTATTCTACCCCGGAATCTTCGCGGGTCTAAAGAAATATGAAGGTGAGGGGGAAAGAGAGAGTCTGACAAAAGAGATATTTACATGTATTAGGAGCCAATCATGACAATATATTTTATGCTTAGTAGTACATCATGACAAAACCTCAAGAGTGAGTGAGTGAGTGAGTGAGTGAGTGAGTGAGTGAGTGAGTGAGTGAGTGAGTGAGTGAGTGAGTGAGTGAGTGAGTGAGTGAGAGAGGGATATGACTTCCATCTTAGCACAAATACAAAAAACAACCTTTGTCCAAGGTTAAACCCATCAACTACTTCAGGATGGCATATCTTTCATACTAACAACCTATAAACCAAAATAAATCACCATAGCACCATACACATAACGGAAAACATGAATCTCACTGTTTTAAATAAAAATAACATTCAAAGATAGAAACATACAAGGCTTCAAGTTGATGTATCTCCCACAAAGATAACACTTCCTGCCTCCAGCAGAACAAAGCCAGGCAAGTCAGCACCCACAATCAACAATATATATTACCACATCATTGTTGGGGATAAGGTCACACTTTTCTTATCAGTCTGTCAAAATATGTGCAATTTACTGTTACCTAACTGTTACTTTGAAGAGCAATCTCTCTAGCAGAGACCTAACCATGCATGCAGGGAGTTGTATTCAACATTGGATGATGAACCTGCACACCGCTTGACATTTCAAACGTACACCAACTCTGTAATGGTTGGCATTCCGTCAACCTGCCTGTATGTGTAACACCTACTCAACACCATCCCAACACCAGGGGTCTGTGGTTAATAATTACAGTCAGTATCACTCTGCAGCAAACCCAGTCGGGAAGATCGGTTTCAAAACGTGGGGTCTCGAGTTGAACTTCGTACAAACTGACACACTAATGGTAGTTTATTTCATCAGGATATGTCTTCAGATCTAAACTGGGTAGCCATTGATGTTTATTACAAAATAAAACACCCAAAAAAGGATATCAATAAGCCATGTTTCGATCCTCTTGTTTGTACCTCCCTTTGTGAAGTAGCCCGCAACACCCAGTTTCTTATGTGGGTCGGACTCGGTTTACGTTGTAAATTGTAACAGAGACTCGGAGAAACTGTTAGAAGGCTTTCAACAACAAAACAATGACTGTTGTGAAAAATTATCCTGAATTTCAGACTGACATGAAAATGTGGTACCGGCTGATTTACGGTTCTTTTAATGGAATTTACCTCAAATCTTTTCAAATTATTGCAACAATGGTTGAAAGTATATCAAGCTAATGCTCTTGTTCAAATGTTTTTTTTCGCAAAATGTTGAGAAGGGTTAGTCTGGTGTTTAATGTCTTCAAACAACTGACTGGCGATATCTGGAACCCTGTGGATCCATACCTTATTTGCTTGAGTATATTGCACACTTTACCTACCATAAAACCACAGCTGTGTAGATAGGGGTACGCATAATACATGCCATTATAGCAATCAGCTGTACCAAAGTGCTATGCTTATGGTCATTATTATTTTAAATATATATAGTAAAAGATGCAACTTATATAACACAATACTGGAACATAATATTCCAGATAAAATAATTTTCAGATACAATTCTTCTGATCATTGCATCATAATTCTCTGCAATTATATCATCAGATTTAAAAAAAAAAAATCACAAGTAGAGAAAATGTGTACAGCTGATTGCTATTTCTGCCTCATTGTATGAGGAGATACACATATTAATCTTAATCTTTATATAAGACAATGCCTAATCATGCTAATAGAACAGGAAGTAAAACTTTAATGGTAAACCATTATGTCAAGTGATGTTTTATGTCAAATTTCAAATATTTATTGACAATGATTGCTATCACCTGTTCGTTCATCTGAGTGAGTGAGTTGGGTTTTACGCCGCTTTTAACAGTATTCCAGTTATATCGCGGCGTGTCAGCTTAATGTGGGAGGAAAGCCCGGAGTGATGCAGGTCTCAGACGTTTACCACTTCGGTGAAACCCACGAGCACGGGTATGGTGCTGACAAACCTAGAAACATAATTGGGGCGAACCGGGATTCGAACCCACAATCATAGGTTTCTGGCGTGCCCAAGAGACGCAACTCTGCACAGCGAATCACGGCGCCTTAGACGACTGGGCCACCCGTGCCCCCTCGTTCATCTGAATTCGCTGAAGGCATACAATGTAGTTTTTACTGCCCATAATACTCAAAAATTCTATTTTTCCCAAATATTGAATCCCCTAGTTGGGTGCGTATTAAGGATTATGGATTATGGATTAGTCTTGGATCCGAAATATACTCCAGAAAGTACAGTACAGTAAACTATGGTTATAACAAACTCAAACGGACCATTAATTTTAGTTCGTTATTAGCATATATACAACATCTATACAGCAAGTGGAAGGGACCAAAAATTAAGTTTGTAATATCCGTCAGTTCGTTCTAAGCGTGTTCGTTATAAACATATCTTACTGTAATTGTTGTGAAGATTACTCAGACCATAGGGTGAGTAAAAGAGTGAACAAATGGTACACGTATATGCTTATCTATTAATCTTCCCAACCTTAATAATCAAAACAAATGTCTAATACAACACAACTTTATAACAGAAAGTCCCATACAACGAAGCTATCTTAACAAGAAAGATATGTACTTCAGGGTTAATTACCTTGACCTACAATTTCAGCCAATCACACGATTCATTATTTCTAGTTGACTACACAGGTATAGTGAGTGAGTGAGTGAGTGAGTGAGTGAGTGAGTGAGTGAGTGAGTGAGTGAGTGAGTGAGTGATGTTTAACACCGCTTTTAACAGTATTGCAGTTATATCACGGTGTGTCAGCCTAATTTGGGAGGAAAGCCCAAAGCGAAGCAGGTCTTAGACATTTACCACTTCGATAAAACCCATGAGCACGGGTATGGTGCTGACAAACATAGAAACATAATCAGGGCAAACTGGGATTCGAACCCACAATCACAGGTTTCTGGCGTACCCAAGGGACGCAACTCTGCACAGCGAATTGCGGCGCCTTAGACTACTGAGTCCCCCGTGCCCCCGACAACACAGGTATAAGCTCAGACAAACATGTCATACACATGTGGGGGTTGGTCCAGTACACACAAAGAAGCCAAACTACATTCAGGATGACCACTCTAGTGTTATTAAACTTCAATAATTCCCCCCTTCTAAAACACTTTTTGGACATACAATAATTAATAAATTTCTGAGTGTATGACTATTAGAATTAAATTTGACCTTCAGTATCAGCTACAAGTAATGTCTAGAATATACCAAAAGTCTGTTCAGCATATAATCCAAGCTGGATGGGCCAAAGTGGGGTTCAATGTAACCATGAAAATATGGCATATGCTTCTCTTTGAAAGTAGGTCACCGTGACCTGTCATCACTTGTCACACATATCCTACAACTACATGCATGAGACTTAATAATATTTGCAGAAAAAGGCATTTTTTTACAATATACCTTTATTATGACCTTGACCTCAAACATAGGTAGCTTATCACCTTTTCCCATCTCGGCCCTGCCCTAAGTTTGACATGTACCAAATATAATTGACTCACTAAGTTACAGCAAATCCTTCTCAAGTTTGGTGGAAACCAAATGTTTCTTCAGGCTATATATGACATGATATATCAATGTGTCAAAAACATTACCCGAGTTATAAAAGAGATACTGTAAATCGTGAAATAAATGCATCTCCAAAAGAATGCGACCACTGGACCCTAGCCAAAAATGCGCCTCAATATGAATGAGACACCCCCTCCTCTCAAGCATCAGTGGATCTCTATCCACCTAATTCTAATCCAACCTTACATCAATCCAATCACACACCAAATAGCACCGCTTATTAGCGTAAAGTAAAGTACTTCCGCAAAAACAATACATGCTTGCTGGCTCGTGTCGGCCTTTGACGCAGTCGCAAAGGGTGGCGTCTGTCTGGACTTGCAGGTGTGATCAGTGATGACATAAGTGAGTAGAACTCTTGTCTTGACCCCAGCAGTGACAATTCACAGGACGTAATTAGTGTTTGAATGACATTGTTTATATACTTTATATACAAGTGCTGCTCAATGAACAGTGGTGTGGAATACATCAGCGTATGTCTAAGTTGGTATTTTTGCTATACGACATGTCTTATTGTTGATATAAATGCGATGTTTAAAATGCGAGCAAAGACCACTCGCATTTTTCGTGTTTAATTCACGCTCGCCTTAATTTCAAGATTTACAGTATGCCTTATAAGATATCGATAAGACGTCCAAGCACAGTGTGGTTTCAAAACAAAGAGCAGCATCAGTCCAATCCAGGCCAAACCTAGAACCACCCCATTCACATGGGTTTCCTTAATAACAGCTTATCTACCTGATCTACACCATCACAGAGCATAAATGCTTATCTATTAATCTACTTCACATAGATAATAAAAGCTTATCGATCAATCTACCCAATATTTTCCTCTGCAATAAAATAAAAAGATTCCCACTTGATAAAAGAATCATGAGAAATTCCTATATTTCAATGAGCTTCTCATCTGAGCAAAGTTCATTTCCTTTCAACTATAAAGATTATCTCCGACAGTCTAATCACAGATCAGAGACAGATAATGTCACTAACCCTAGCAATCAAGCCATTAAAACTGTTAAGAACCAGTTTCCAGAATCCCTAATGCATTCACTTGTTTGAAATGGGTCACAAATGTTCTTCTATGTCCAGGCAGCTTGTGAAAGTGGAGAACCAACAAAAAGGAAAAGACGGCAAACTTGAACAGAAACTGATTTGTAAGATTTGTGATAATTCACCTCGGAAATTGTTTATTTGAGAGCTTGACAACACTTCCTCTGCCTTAAGTGGTTTCTGATTTAATCCTTAAAGTGCTGCGCAACACAACTAATTCCTACAGGTTAACTAGGTATGAGGGACTGGCAGTACACAGCCACACACATCACTCTAGCTTCAGCCTGCACTGGGAGAGAGAGAGAGGAGAAAGGGACTGGCGGAGTTATCTCCCTTTGACTACTCACCTGAATGGCTGAAACCTTCTCTGAAATTGGCTTCAGCAGGTCCGGCAACACGCTCTGCAACATAAACATTAACAATAAATATCAATGACTTGAGATTACTTGTAAGTGTATGAATATCCCTCGAGATTATTGGTGCTATAATGTCCGTAAAATAGTCCGTAAAGTGGTAATGGATAATGGTAACAGAGAATGTGTGACTGATGGTGTTTCGACATGACGAGCTGGAATTCACTTAAGAAAAATTCAAGGAAAATTACTCATTTTTTTTGCACTCACCCACACAATGTTAAAGTCTAAACAGATGGGTGCTTTGTGAGAGTTTACACTGCATTGATCAAGCTGTATCACACTGTGGGACCATGTGGGGAGACAAACCATGGTTTGGGTCGAGTTAGCGAACACCTCAGTTCACCCAACCAGAGTTCAAAATCCTGCATGAGAGTCAGGAGGTTCTTGCAAAAATCCAAGAGTAAAATGCTAATGTAATGTGGATCAAATACCATCACAGTTGAGCTCAAGTGCCCAAGGATCTTGCTTAATTTTGAACACTACTACCCAAAAATCCCTTAGGAAATATTTTATCAGTCAAGTGTTCATAGCAAAATATTTTCTTTGAATATAACATATCAAACTTGAGGTTCTTAGGTGATGAAAGATTGTGCCACAGACCAGATTTGTCATGGCAGCCTACATGACCTGACCACAAACAACACTGCTTCACACTAGGAGCCACAGAACAGATCTGTCATGGCGGCCTACATGACCTGACCACAAACAACACTGCTTCACACTAGGAGCTACAGAACAGATCTGTCATGGCGGCTTACATGACCTGACCACACACAACACTGCTTCACACTAGGAGCCACAGAACAGATCTGTCATGGCAGCTTACATGACCTGACCACACACAACACTGCTTCACACTAGGAGCCACAGAACAGATCTGTCATGGCGGCTTACATGACCTGACCACACACAACACTGCTTCACACTAGGAGCCACAGAACAGATCTGTCATGGCGGCTTACATGACCTGACCACAAACAACACTGCTTCACACTAAGAGCCACAGAACAGATCTGTCATGGCGGCCTACATGACCTGACCACACACAACACTGCTTCACACTAAGAGCCACAGAACAGATCTGTCATGGCGGCTTACATGACCTGACCACACACAACACTGCTTCACACTAGGAGCCACAGAACAGATCTGTCATGGCGGCCTACATGACCTGACCACACACAAAACTGCTTCACACTAGGAGCCACAGAACAGATCTGTCATGGCGGCTTACATGACCTGACCACACACAACACTGCTTCACACTAGGAGCCACAGAACAGATCTGTCATGGCGGCTTACATGACCTGACCACAAACAACACTGCTTCACACTAGGAGCCACAGAACAGATCTGTCATGGCGGCTTACATGACCTGACCACACACAAAACTGCTTCACACTAGGAGCCACAGAACAGATCTGTCATGGCGGCTTACATGACCTGACCACACACAAAACTGCTTCACACTAGGAGCTACAGAACAGATCTGTCATGGCGGCTTACATGACCTGACCACACACAACACTGCTTCACACTAGGAGCCACAGAACAGATCTGTCATGGCGGCTTACATGACCTGACCACACACAACACTGCTTCACACTAGGAGCTACAGAACAGATCTGTCATGGCGGCTTACATGACCTGACCACACACAACACTGCTTCACACTAGGAGCCACAGAACAGATCTGTGATGTCAGCCCACACGACCTGACCTGATCAGAGAGAACCCCCAAGCAGCCTGACCTATCTGAATCTTGACAAAAAAGGTCCTAACCAGATGAACAGAGTGACATGCACTGCATGTGGAATCAATAGATTTAACACATACTGCACCAATGCCCCAGTGACTTGCAGACTTATATACATAAGTGCAAAAAGGTAGAAATGCAATTTCCTATTTGTGCATGTTTCTCAAACAGCCATGCAATAGTTATGATAACACAAAAGGCCCTCAAAGAGAAATGACAATACAACAAACAGAGGAAATATTTCCTTCAGATAGAAAATCTGTTTACTTTAGTTATTTCAAAAGAATATTTTCAAAACTTGATAGCTCCCCTTAGTTTGTTTTCTCATCATTTTTAACTTTTTCCAAACAATTAAGAAAACAGTTGCCGCTATGTTCACACTCGTATGTCATTTGCCTTCAGGCAACCGAAATAAACGAGAGCAAATGACAGATGTCAGCTATTATTGATCTATTATCAGGGTTAGTTTACACTTAGAGATGGGCTTAGGTTCGAACAGTCGATTCAACATGCACATATCTCTTCAGACTGTCAAACACCACATGCATGTTATGCAATGAGCGAGCTCGGGCTGACTGATGTCATGGAGAATGGGGTTGGAGAGGGGTGGGGGAGGTCAGTTTGGGGGTGGGGGAGGTCAGGTTGGGGGGTGGTGAATACAGGAAGTACTCATCAATCACAACATCTTTACTAATCCCTCTGCCTGATGGTCACTGAACTAAGTCATTAGCTGGGAACTATTTGCTGAGCAATGAAAGAAACAAGTAAATAAGCATACACAGTTGGAAGTCGGAAGTGATAGTGGCTTCGAATTTAACACCTGGGATATGTGGAACCAACATTGTTGACAGCAGTCACCTGAGTGTGGTTGATGCCACACTTGCCAATACTCCAGAAATATGACAGGGTACATGGAGAATAAGCCGGAGCTTCACTTTGAAGCCATGTGGGAAATCCAACCAGATGTATGGCATACCAAATGACTGCTGTAACCACTAGGCTATGTCACGACCCCACGAATATCAGGAACATGGCAGCAGGTTAGGCCACACTATGGGATTTCTTGGTTTACAGACATGTTGTGAAAATCCATGATCATCGGGGAGTTGGGGCGATGAGTGAGTATGGTTTTACGCTGCTTTTAGCAATATTCCAGCAACATCACAGAGGGGGACCAGAAATGGGCTTCACACATTGTCGGGAATAGAACCCGGGTCTTCTGCATGATGAACGAACGCTTTAACCACTAGGCTACTCGACTGCCCCTGGGGCGATGAATAAGTTCTGATCAGTTTATTTATCATTCTTATTGGATGGTTGCGCTTTTTGAAAAAAAAATGATGAATTTTGGGGAGAAAAGAGGTACCCTGCGCTGTATCTGGGGTAGTGGTAAATCGAGGGCTATTGTACCGAGGGTTCACTGTACTGCCATGTGTGAAGTATCTACAAATCTGATCTTGTTGGCCTAACACTTTATGCACAATTATTGTGTACTGAATATGCAATTTTGCAGTAGAGTGCTTTTTAGATTGTTTCCAACTCTTCATTGTTTTCTTTTCATTACTAAGGGCATGTGGATCGGTAACCAATTAAAATAAGAAGTTTGGCCTCATCTTGAAATACTGAACCTATACCTGAGTACTTCCCCAACTGTCCACAGCAAAAACTCCATGTTGGCCATCTGGTATCTCAACTTCTGTCAATAATTCATCATGCGTAGCAACTGCCAAGGATAACAGTGCATGAACAGAGACTGCATTTTCCATCTTCTCAAGACTATCACATTCACTGTTTGTTACAGAGCTTGGTGGTAGTAGCAGGCACCAACTGTTGCTCAGGAGTTGGAGCATACCATAAAGACAAAGGACCCTTTCAAGACCCACAATAGTTGACAAAGTGAAAAATGTTCTATGAAATAAATCTCAATAGAAATAAATATCAAAAGTACTGAAATGACGACGACATTCATACAGTTTGGCCCTCACTCTATGAAGGTTCATATTCCAATGAACTCACACAAAGTGAAGGTCAATTCTTAAATATACTTTTAAATTTTGGACCTTCAATAAAATCATGTATGGGCAACATGTCATTTTAAAAAAACAGAAGAAAAACTAACTGTAAGTAGTGAGTGAGTGAGTTGGGCTTAACGCCGCTTTTAACAGTATTCCAGTTATATCGCGGCATGTCAGCTTAATGTGGGAGGAAAGCCCGAAGTGATACAGGTCTCAGACGTTTACCACTTCGGTGAAACCCACGAGCACGGGTATGGTGCTGACAAACCTAGAAACATAATCGGGGCAAACCGGGATTCGAACCCACAATTATAGGTTTCTGGCGTGCCCAAGGGAAAACAACTTTGCACAGCGAATCGCAGCACCTTAGATGACTGGGCCACCCGTGCCCCCCTAACTGTAAGTAGCTCAGTCACCAGAAAGACCTTTTTCACCATGTCTACTGCACAGTTTGGCTGCTCCAGTGGACAAGAAGGGCTGTTATCATACCCCTTAATCAGTTAAGAAAAACCCAATAGAGGTAAGACATGTGAGTATTTTGTGTTCGGCCATGTTGCCATGGTGAGGAGAAACAAGCCAATTATTCATTTTAGCCTAATTACCAATATCCATAAACCACGTGACAGGGTGTTGATATCTGGAATACCAGCTCACGGACATGTTGGAGTCAAACGTGTGGATCTGTCGGCCTTGGGCGACACAGTGTGTGTCATACATGACTGAGATAGCTCTTCTGTGGGAGGAAACATTTTCCATACATGGAAGGTATTTCGTACTTCCATTTTGTTTTCGGAATGATGAATCACATAACATGGCTTTAACACAAATCTTAAATATGAATTGACACACCCCGCTTCTTTTCTAGGCTTTGTCGTATTCAGCAGTTGAAATTAAGCATGAGGTGTCAACAGGACCCCGTCACAATCCTAGTTCAACTTAAAGATTCAGAGGTCCTTGGGTTCAGATTCAGTAGCTCAAATCCTCAAAGATTCCTGAACTCCCTTAAATCTAAATACTTATATTGACATGTAAACATGATAATCATGATAATACTGACTCCTGCATCTAACAGGTTGTGTGAGTGAGTTAATGGTGTCAGCAATACCACTTCCTTACACCCATCTGAAAAGTAACTTGACTGGGCCAGGGGACCAGTGGTTGATAGCATGAGCACCAAGCCTTCATGGTAGAATGGTACACAATCACCAGAGTTGGGCAGGGATAACTTTGATTATGGATATGCTAAACCAAAGTTTCACCAATTTGGAACAGGACCAAAATATGACTCTCAAGTGTTTTACCTAATGTAACTAATGCACATACTGAAAACCCTCTAGGGCATTATAGGAAGGGAAATAACTACTTGATTTGTCGTTCCAAAAAGTGACTTCTTTCATATACTTTTCTTTTTACCTTTTCCTGCCGACCAACAATACTTTCAAGGAATCACTTAAGAACATTTATTTCAAATTCTATTTCAATTGGATCACAGACTATGAATTTGGAAAACCAATCTGTGAAACCAAATATAAAAACAGCGGTCTTACAAATAGGTGGCGTACACAAAGCAATTTCAATGTTACTAATATAACACTATGTTAAAGTATAGAAGTCATCAGATCGCTTTCCTTATCAAAGACTTGGTTTTATCTGGTGGTCACCATATCATACCGGTTTACAAGATATCACACCACTAAACACTCCACAGCCAAATACATTTCTCCCTGCTATCTGCCCGAACACTGGGCAAAGTTATCTTCAAGGAACAAGCAAGTGTTATTCTACCCAAAAGAGCTTCTGCAGAATGATTCTGAAATGAAACAAGTTCACGTTTTGGGTTGATTGATATGAGTGGCCATAAAGTTTTTCAAGGAAGAGTATTGTATTTATAATTACTGATAAAAAAAAATTGTGTGATTTATTATCCAACTGCAACCCTCGTGCCCATGTAACATGTTCAACACACATGTTCCAAAAACATGCTACAGAAGCAACTGTTGTTGGAGGCCTCGGTGGAGGATCTTGCAGGTATATCCCTCTTTCTCAAATCACATACCACAGGCCTCATATCAAACAAAACAGGAAAAAACTAATTCCACGACAAGAAGATGAAGTGGTATTTTCTCTTGTGCAACTAATCCTAAAAACATTTCACAGGTAAGACTCTTTTAGTGTTCCAGGCCCACAGCAGCTGTCAAACTTTAAATGTTTCTAATGTTTTGCAGATATGGGGTCAGTACGTTCTACAAGAGAAAACAATGAGAGCGGTTTTAAAACAAACTTTCAGTGATCAGTCTTGCAACCTGAAGCATGTAGAAATGCAGCTGTCTTTCATTTATTTCAATTAAAATGCCTTTCTAAGTTAAATTTGACAGCAAGGTAATTAAAAGCTTGAATGATCTAGCATTTGGTTCTGTTGTTTGTTTTTTCCCAGGGGAACCATCGCTGAAAAGGGGATTACTTGGCCTATGAGTATTGATGCTATACACAGGTTTTAAGTGATATCACTGGCAGTAATATGGAATTTTCGCTTCTGTCAACAGCCTAAGCAGAAAGTAGTCATTGGGCACATCAAAACGTAAAAGTCTCCCCATTTGAAAAAGAAGTTACAAGCTGTAATGAGTTTAGTCTGGCGGCCATTTGGGGAGTACTTCTGTTGAGCCAGATAGTGAAGATCATCCAGGGAGGCTGGTTTGACCCCAGGGATATAAATTAGCCAATATTTGGTGCATTGTGCCTCATTAGCTGCTCCATGTAGACTAGGTGAGCGGAATCAGGAGCTCTTTTCCAAGCGCTACATTTTAAATGGTAATGTTTTTCACAACTGGAAAAAAACATTCATACAATACAATACACAACTGTAGGGAGTCCCTGTCATTGGCTTAATGTTAAAACTTATAAGATTCCAGTCCAGTTTAGGTATTATAGAAGCATAACTTTCTAGAATCCCAGGATCCCATACATGATATCCTCAGATTTCAGTTCATTGCTATTCTCCATAGAAAAATCTCTTCTGCATCTACTTTACAATTCAGTGAGATAACCAATACCTCAACTGTAACAACATCAATGCTTATTGCTGTATTTCTGAGTCCATGTCTTGCAGGATACCTCAACATAAAATGAAAGCCGCTCAATCTTTTCAACATGGCCACATATAACTGGCCAAAACAGTTATCTTTCACGTTTTTCTATCCCACAGGTGTATCAAAATCCTTAAATGAATTTCACATACTTAGCAGTTCTTCAGGTCGCTTGGGGTCTTGGTCATTGACCCTGATACTACATCCTCCATTGCTGAGCAACACTGCTCCTCTGGCCCAATATCTCTGACCACCACTTTCCCTGTTTGAATTCACATCTGTCTAAAGTTCGCAATCCACAAACAAATTTGTGACATAGGTTTAACATAAATCATAATTTTCAAAATTGCCACTTGTATGCTTTCCATGATTGGTCATTGCAGGCTAGTTATTTCCCTAAAGGATATCACACAGAACAACACACTCTCCTTATTTTATGGTCTATAGATTTCTTATGACCAATTAGCTTGGGCCTTACAAAATAGAAATAAATCAGTATTTGCATTTTATTTGGCATGAAGTTCTTTGTGTTGGTTATGTGAGTGAGTGAGTGAGTATGGTTTTACGCCGCTTTTAGCAATATTCCAGCAATATCACGGCGGGGGACACCAGAAATGGGCTTCACACATTGTACCCATGTCGGGAATCGAACCCGGGTCTTCGGCGTGACGAGCCAACGCTTTAACCACTAGGCTACCCGACCGCCCCTCGTTGGTTATGTGAACAAACAATAAATGTAAATACTGCTTAAAGTAAAGTATCAAAGTTCAAATCAATCAACAAAAATAACTTGAACTACCGGTATACATATTTTATGATTGGGCATTTGGGCTCTAGGCTGTTTAATCTGTAAACAGAAGAACAAAAAGTGTCCAAGTGCTTATAAAAAGAATTGCTGCATATACTGAGTGAAGATCAAATTTGTGCTACATAATCTCCATCAGTTATAGTTTGTCAACTGTACAACTACTTGCAACACCAGTGACAGCTTTTGCCATTTGATGAGGATGCCAATGGTGTATACTTATTCTATAGCATCAAACAACTAAAACATTGTACCGTAAACGTAAGACAAGTCCAATTTTTATCTTGAATTATTAACATACAATTTGAATACAAAAAAAAAAACCTACTTTGTTTAACTTAAACTTGACCGCCTATCGTAATTATGTTAAAATCTTGTACAATGACACAACATATTTGATAATTGGGAAACACAAATTGCAGAAATGAAACGAGAGCAGAGCCAGCTGTCCCAATGGTTTCCTAAAGGCTGATGATCAGCACAGACATAGAGACGATTTCACATTTTAGATTCATCTTGACAGCTTGTCCTCAATTCCAGTGGTTGTTTCACCGACTAAGACGAAAAAATAATGACTACAGACTACTGACTAATAACAACCCCTGTCAAGACCCTCTTTATATCACATGCTCTCAAGCTATATGGATTTTTATCTTCATGAATGGATTGCCAAATTTAATTAAGTGCTTGTATAGTTAACATGGCATTATATTAAACTATGTATTTACAATTTCATTGCCTGTTTCAATACAGGTTAGAATTGGACCCAGCACTCTATTGCAAGTCATAATAGGTGACTAAATTGGATCGGGTGGTCAGGCTCTCTGACATTAATGATTGCAAGTCATCGTACTCTGTGGATCATTGATAACATTTTCAGTCAATGGTTTTGCCTGCAAAAAACTCATTTATAGGCCTTCTTGGTACAGCTGAAATATTGCTGACTGAAGCGTGAAACAACATTCATTCATTTACTGTATCATGTAGTTCACATAATACATTCTCATCTTATTCAACAGGTTGATAAATAAAAGGGTCCATTACATAAAACATTGTGACCTTGACCACTGACCTCTCACGCCTGTCTTTACAGGGCATGACAAGAAGATTTCATCAGTCATGTTGAAAAGAAATGCCTTAAGCTAGTCATATGGAAATTTGAAAAAGCTACTTCCGTGAAACTGATCCCACAATTACAGCACAAGTTGAACACGTTACAAACTGAGTATCTGTCTATAGAAGTAACATTAGTTGTGAGGGGAACAACATATGTTATTACAGACTGGGCATCTGTCTATAGTTGTCTCTGAAGATCACATAGAAAAAGTACGTGTTTATTACTGACTGGGCTTTTGTTAATACATGTCTGAATGATTTTACTTAGGTACTGTTTTGGCATAAACTAGTTATAAGATCATTACTGAAGACTGAAAACCAGTAACATATGTGTGTACTGCAGGTTGCATTGCTGTCTAAGGCTATTTGTTAGGTTTCACTTTGCGTAGTGACAGGGAACCAGTTTTGTGTTCATTACACAGCAGACATAGGAGACAGAGTGTTAGTCAAGCATGTGATCTTTATGGACTGGGCTCCTGTCAACTAAATAACATCTGCAACAAAGGTAAATATGCTCCAGCACTGACCTGGACTGGCTGCTTGAACTGTGATGCAGTAAGCAGGAACTGTCTCTCTGCCTGGAACGCCCCCTGGACCATATCACTCTGCAAAAGCAAGAGGGGTAACTCTGTAACATTGTACACTGACAACATGTAAAATAATTTAACATTACCTGTTAAAGAAACTTCCTATCTGATGGCTAGTCACCATCTTGTAGAAATTCATGCAAGTTGAATGAACGGTCTGTACAGACGTCATGATGTTTTATTTGATGGCACTTGCTTGTAATGACACAAACGACCCAATTCTCACTGTGAGTTTACCATACTGAAGGGAGTCTGGTGTTTGTCTAATTGTCACACACAATTGTTAACAGAACAAGATATATGTGCTCTAGGTTTCACTAGCAGGATGCATGGAATCTTACAAGGTGAATGGGTCAATACAGAGCAAAAGTACCTGTAAGGCTGCCATAGACACCAGCCCACATCAAGGCTCCGTGACTTGGATTGATGGTATTTAGTATGCATCAGTAAAAGGGACAGTTTTTATGGATCTATTGTCAGTGAGGGTAGATTCTTGTATACATAATGGGTATTGAGGGTAGATCTCGTATACTTATAGGGTATTGAGGGTAGATCTCGTATACTTAAAGGGTATTGAGGGTAGATCCTGGTATACATAATGGGTAGTGAGGGTAGATCTCGTATACTTATAGGGTAGAGAGGGTAGATCCTGGTATACATAATGGGTAGAGAGGGTAGATCTCGTATACTTATAGGGTAGAGAGGGTAGATCCTGGTATACATATTGGGTAGTGAGGGTAGATCTTGTATACTTTTAGGCTATTGAGGGTAGATCTCGTATACTTATAGGGTAGAGAGGGTAGATCCTGGTATACATAATATGTAGAGAGGGTAGATCTCGTATACTTTAAGGGTATTGAGGGTATATCTCGTATACTTATAGGGTAGAGAGGGTAGATCCTGGTATACATAATGGGTAGTGAGGGTAGATCTCGTATACTTATAGGGTATTGAGGGTAGATCTCGTATACTTATAGGGTAGAGAGGGTAGATCCTGGTATACATAATGGGTATTGAGGGTAGATCTCGTATACTTTTAGGGTATTGAGGGTAGATCTCGTATACTTATAGGGTATTGAGGGTAGATCTTGTATACTTATAGGGTAGAGAGGGTAGATCTCGTATACTTTTAGGGTAGAGAGGGTAGATCTTGTATACTTATAGGGTAGAGAGGGTAGATCTCGTATACTTTTAGGGTAGTGAGGGTATATCTCATATACTTACTTATAGGGTGGAGAGGGTAGATCTCAAATACTTAATGAGTATTGAGGGTAGATCTCATATACTTGCATGGTAGAGAGGGTAGATCTCAAATATGTATAGGGTAGAGAGGGTAGATCTCAAATACTTATAGGGTAGAGAGGGTAGATCTCATACACTTATAGGGTAGTGAGGGTAGATCTTAAATACTTTTGGGTAGAGATGGTAGATCTCATATACTTATATGGTAGAGAGGCTAGATCTCAAATACGTATAGGGTAGAGAGGGTAGATCTCATACACTTATAGGGTAGTGAGGGTAGATCTCAAATGCTTTTGGGTAGAGAGGGTAGATCTCATATACCTATAGGGTAGTGAGGGTAGATATCAAATACTTTTGGGTAGAGATGGTAGATCTCATATACTTATATGGTAGAGAGGGTAGATTTCAAATACGTATAGGGTAGAGAAGGTAGATCTCAAATACTTATAGGGTAGTGAGGGTAGATCTCAATTACTTTTGGGTAGAGAGGGTAGATCTCATATACTTACATGGTAGAGAGGCTAGATCTTAAATACGTATAGGGTAGAGAGGGTAGATCTATATACTTATAGGGAAGTGAGGGTATATCTCAAAAACTTTGGGGTAGAGAGGGTAGATCTCATATACTTATATGGTAGAGAGGCTAGATCTCAAATACGTATAGGGTAGAGAGGGTAGATCTCAAATACTTATAGGGTAGTGAGGGTAGATCTCAAATACTTTTAGGCAGAGAGGGTAGATCTCATATACTTATAGGGTAGAGAGGGTAGATCTCAAATACTTATAGGGTAGTGAGGGTAGATCTCAAATACTTTTGGGTAGAGAGGGTAGATCTCATATACTTATAGGGTAGAGAGGGTAGATCTCATATACTTATAGGGTAGAGAGGGTAGATCTATATACTTATAGGGTAGTGAGGGTAGATCTCAAATACTTATAGGGTAGAGAGGGTAGATCTATAGGGTAGAGAGGGTAGATCTCAAATATTATTGGGTAGTGAGGGTAGATCTCATATACCTACTGGTTAGCGAAGGCACATTCTCGTATGGAATTTTGGGTAGGTATGTGTTTATTGGCGTAGTAGGGGAAATTTGCAGTCTCTTCTATCACAGAACACAGTGTGTTAATCTCATCATTCTAGAAAAGTTAATATTAACAATGTTAATACACACCTGCGTCTTGACATCACCACCTATAGATGAACTGAGCGACACATACTGTGCGAATGGGCCACTCAGGATGGCATCAAAGGCAAGAATGAAAGGTGCAACCTCTGAAACAACAACAGTTGTCACATGACACAGCTGTAACAGGAAGTACTACCCGAGTTGATAAAAGTGGGAAAGCTCCGAGGTTTTTTTCCACTTTTATAAACGAGTGTTGATATATTTGATATCAAAAGACACAAGGGTGAGATTTTATGTATCATCCAACATCATTTTTCAAACTTTTTTTCAGTTTGTAGACAGTAATTAGCAGTGTCTTAAGTGTAAAAAAGTACTGCTTACAGCTTCAGTAGCAGAGCCATTAGTGATGTCATTTGATTGTGACGTCATGGTAACCAATGACATCACAATGGTCTGTAAAGCATTGTGATGCAATTTCATTGCAGCGATATTTACAGAGTAGATATCGTTTGATCTCACCCAAGCGATATCTCCTGTGGGAGCCAGTTTTGGATGATAAAAACAGCTCTACACTGAATTCCAATACTCTACCATATCTTTTATCTTACTGATTGTACTGGAAATACGAAGCAGGAAAAACTGTCTGTTGCCATAGTGTGATAAGCTTTCTAAAAAGAGGGTCAAGTCTTTGAAAGGCATTTAGAAGTGATACATCGGACCACTGTACAATCAAAATGTAAATTAATATCATTTTGTGGGACATTTTTCTTTGCCAACAGTTTTCAGCACTGGCATATCCTGCTGACATTCAAGATTAATCTGCAATCAATCAGGTGTTGGTCACAGTCTGGAGTAGTCAATTATGGAAAACAGTATACATCATTGATTGGACATGAACACCTCTCAATCACAGTTTCTTATGGCTTGCAGTTGGCTTGCACAAGGCATACACAGGAAGTTATTGACCACATCCAGACTGGATAGTCTGCCAGGATCTACTGATCCCAGACTCATCTTGAGTGAGTGAGTGAGTGAGTGAGTTGGGTTTAACAACGCTTTTAACAGTATTCCAGTAATATCACGGCATGTCAGCTTAATGTGGGAGGAAAGCCCAAAGTGATGTAGGTCTCAGACGTTTACCACTTCGGTGAAACCCACAAGCACGGGTATGGTGCTGACAAACCTAGAAACATAATTGAGGCGAACCGGGATTCGAACCCAATATCATAGGTTTCTGGCGTGTCCAAGGGACGCAAAACTGCACAGCGAATCGCGGCGCCTTAGATGACTGGGCCACCCGTGCCCCCAGAATTGTCCTGAGAGTGATACTTGGTCTGTCATCACCCATGCTCATAGCTAAAGTATCTATGGTTGAATGAGTTGTTATTTTACATCACTTAAAGCACATTAAAGCAACATCACAAGGGGGAACACCAGAAATTGCCTTCACACAATGTACCTAGGATTCAAACCTGGACATTCAGCATGATGAGCAAACACTATAACCAGTAACTTATCTCACATCGGCTTAAGTTTTTATGACCTACAGTATTTGCCGTAATAAGTTAAATTTGTTTCCCGAAATTGAGTGATCAAATCTAGTTCAAAAGTCATGAAACTAAAACAAATTGATAATAGTTAAAAGGCAATTATATATCCCTTCTACGCTGCGGTATTCTGAAAAAAATCCATAATATGTACATGAAAACGTATTGACTGTCAGTGTCATGTGTGAGAGTAAGTGAGTATGGTTTTACGGTGCTCTTAGCAATATTTTAGCAATATCATGGCGGTGAACACCAGAATTGGGCTTCACATTGTACCCATGTGGGGAATCAAACCTGGGTCTTCAGCGTGACAAGCAAACACTTTAACCACTAGGCTACCCCACCACCCCTAGGATGTCATGTAAACTTTCTGACATTGTAAGGCCGCATACAAATATTGCTCATATATTGGTCTGAAAGTTGGTCGGGGGCATTTATAGGAGCTGAGCCTTTAATACAACTAACATGCCGTGATGTTTGAGACACTGTTGCAGTGCCGGCAGACCGAACTCATTCACTCCAGGTAGTATCACCCAGGCACAGCAGTTGCACTGGGTTACAGACCTGGATAACATCACCACTGTAAGCAGAGCTCCAGGCAATATCCTGCATCTCCTAAGGGGGGATCATTATGACAGTTTATCACTGGGTAAAATAATGTAGATGGTGTGAGTTTGCCTCCAGGGTTTTTGTAATGCTATAATAACCACCTCCCCTATTCTTCCTGCTCCAAAAACAATCTTCATCAAATTGAATTTTCGTATCTTCTTTTATTGGCATTTAGTTACGAACAAATTAATATCATATAAACCCAGCCCAAAATTTAAATTATGATGTGACAATACATTCATATAACTGGTTTTATAGTGATGAAGATGAAAATTAAAATAATTCAATACAGAAGACAGTTATAATTATATAAAGGTTGAATGAACACGAATGAGACATGAACGTTCATTAAAAGAATATCATTTCTGTCTGGTGAAAATGTGGGAGACATATTAAAATATGTTTAAAACCAGACCCTCTTTATGAATCCTCTTTATACATGATATACTTGTGGTAAAATTAGTTAACTGCTGACCTACTTTAATTATTCCCTGACTATCACAAGTCTGGGGACGATGGATAGCCTTGTGGTCTAGTGGTTAAAGTGTTCGTTCATCACACCTAAGGCCTGGTTTGGGTATAATGTGTGCAGTGCCTTTTTGGTGTTCGCTGCTGTGATATTGCTAGAATATTGCTCAAGGTGGTGTGAAATCATTAAATCATTTCTCTCTTAATCATTATTAATCTCATTGTACTCATTCTTTTAATGATTTCTCACATCAGTGTTTCATCAACATTACACTTGTATATCAACTTGTTGACTGCACATATTACAAATTAAAATTTGAGATGGTCCCCATTTTGGTGGGCACCATGTTGGTACTTACCAGAATCCCCTGCTGAAGAGGAGGAAGTGCGACTGGCTGGTTGAGATCGAGCCAAGCTCTCTAACCTGGTGGCAACGTTCTCCAGTCGAGAGACGGCATTCATTAACAGGTCCTGCGACATGGTGTCAGCCTCTGCTAATGCTAGGACAACCTGTTGCTGTGCTTCCCTTAGTTCCTCTGTTACTGATTCTTCTGTTCCTGTTTCTGAGGCACCACCATGTGCCAGATGAGTGTCAGTCTTTTCTGAGTCAGTACATGCAGTATTCACCTGATAGTTGTTGTTGTCTCGGACCTGCTTGGCACACAGCTGAGTCAGTTCATCAATGGAACTGTTCACATACACGTGGTCCTCAGTGTTGACGTCTTCGTCCACGAAAGGAATAGGAGCTGAAATAGATACACTTCCATTTCTAAGGGACTTATCACCAACGCTGTGATTAGGGCTATCCGAAACAGCGCCATTTTCAGGCGAGTAGTTTCTTTTCTTAGATCCCAAACAACAAAACATGACTGAAGGTTACATAGGTTATGCTGCTTTGTTATAGAGATTCCAGCCTTCGATGCCACACACACGAATATTCCTTTCAGAATACACCACCCTCTACCATGTTGACATGGGATGAATAGTCGCAGAGAACGGGGGAAAAACCACACACACACTGTTAACACTCTCAGAGCCACAACACAAACATAGGTAGCCAGTAAATATGTGTGCTGGGTAGCAGACGGTCCAGCTGAGTGGGGAGGGTGGAGCAGACGCCAAATGCCTTGAGGCAGAAGTGGTGTGAGACTGTCACTGACTTCCTAGATGCTGTGACCGTGGGCAATGACTGCACCTTCAGGTATGTGCCTTAGATCAATCAGTGTCAATCTGAGGATGTGCTGCCTCTCTTCTCACAACCTCCATACTTCTCCGTACTCTGATACAGCAGGCAGCCTCAGCTTCTAGGTCAGCCGGTGTAGAACTCTCACCACTGATTACTCAGGGTGGTTATGCAGCCTCTCCTAACATCAACTCTATGTTGATGAATATTGCTCAATTCTTGTTTATCTTGATCCGATTCACTAACAACGTATGTACACTTCCATTAAATACAAATACACACAGCTTTTTTTTACATCACCTTATCCCTTCCGTATAAGTTAGTGTAAGTAGAAAAGATAACACTTGAAAAGTTTTTTCGTCAAGATCTAAAGATAGATTCTAATCTGCTTAAACATGATCTACATTACACATTCTCATGGTTGACAGGCGTATGCTTAAATTCCATAAAATAATGCTGTTACCCAAGATCCATTCAAGAAATCACACATTACAGATAAGACTACATTGGTCTATTAAAGGACCACACCCACTGTGGAATTTAGTAGGCAATATGCACCGGAGAAATACACAATAGCTGGAATCGAGGCTCAACACAGCTGGAGAAAACACCCAATCCAGTATAAATCGAGTCATAGAATATCTACAAAAGTCGTCCAGAGTGTTGAAACTTGTCCGATAACATGATAAATCCACTATATGAGTAATCCTCGTCACCACAATCTGGAACACTCCATATAAGTTCTGTCAACAGAGCACTGTCAAAATAACCAGGCCAAAAGCAGACGTGCCATTTCCGTTTATGGTAGAATAGTCCTTCCCAAACACAGGCAAAATAAGTAGACCCACAGATCAATGAAAACAGTCAACACACTTCTCTATAAATACCATTCAATGCCAACTGGTTTTGACATATTTACAGTCTCACAATATGATTGTCAACAAGGCTTGGCAACAAGCTGGATTATCAATGGTATAGCAGACCACAATGACTGGAGCTTTATGCAGTGACCATGCAAGATTATCTGATAGGATCGTCCGAGTGTGGCAATGTCGACATCACAGCTTTCCATCTTGTAGTATTAACACACTCACCACAGACTAGTCTCCTAAGGTCAACATTCTTTTGGGTTTCTCATACAAACATTGGCAAAATACCCATTACAAATAGTTACATGCCTTGTAACCTTGACTAACAACCAAATCCATATATACTGTCCCTTGACGTAACCAAAACAAAATGTTAGTGAAACTGGTTATAAAGTATCCCACATAAGCCCTTTACAGCCAGCATCGCGTGACTGACGTGTCCAATACCGTTACATAATGACAAATACAGGCGACAGCTGGTAGGCGTGGAGAATTCGACAAATACATTCAGCACCTGGATGAAGGAGGACGAAATCAATCCGAGATTTCTAAAGTAAGTGGGCAACTGACATTCAATTCAACTCACACATACACTCAAAAGAAGATGATTCCAAATGTGACTCAAATGCCTTGTTACATCGCTGAGCCTTGTGTATATGAGGGGCTGGCCTGGAACGTGAGGAATGGGTGAGGACAAAACCGCTGACTGATCGATTGTTTCCACAAACAGCAATATTTGTCCCAATCTGGAATTTCGATACCATCATGCACTAGCACAATAACGTTCTTGGATGCACCAACAACTGAGAATCCCCCAGTTGTCTTGCTTAAACTTTGTCACCATCTCTCGGTTACACACATGCCAAATTCATTTCAAACAGCATGATCATAAAGATATAATATTTTCTTACACAGGTAAAAATTCTTGCTTTAAAATATATTTTTAATCATCTTTTTACTGCCTGAGAGCATGTTCGGAGCACGGATCAACAAACGACATTTTTGCTTTTAACATGTTGCATGTAGTTGAGAAGCTTGATCATTTTTGTGTGTATATGAGCTTCTGGGCGAGAGTGTTCGTGTTGAAACATGTTGAACAAATTCTTGGTGTTAGAAATTTTTCTGCATTTTGTAGATATACGTTGTTTGTTTAGACATGCACAGGCAGTCAGCTATGTGGGATAAAAGCTACATGAAACGTTTTGCTTTCAGAGGTCTCCTGTTTCACTGATAATGTAAGTGCACCCATGTACAGTGTCATCTTCATTCTGGTGAAAATTACTTGCTTCAAACTTTATTTTGTTTGTATATAATGAACACACAAAGATGCATTTTTCACTTAGGCCATACCAGTGTTTTTCATGTTTTAAGTTTACCTATCCTACATTTTTCAATGTACCACTGGGGTGGTCGGGTAGCCTAGTGGTTAAAGCGGTCGCTCCTCATGCCGAAGACCCGGGTTCGATTCTTGACTTGGTTGAAGCATGTCATCGATCCCAATTGCTGGATTGTTTGGTCCAAACTCAATTATTTACAGACCGCCGTCATATAGCTGGAATATTGCTGAGTGCGGCGTAAAACAACAAACTAACCAAACCTGCATCATGAAACCAAGCCAAAGCAGAGTCTAGTACCAAGATGGTCACCATCATCATGGCAACCCCATCTACTTATGTCATCCTTTCACAACAAAAAGTCCTACTGACCAACTCTTCCCCACAATCACTAGGAGGCTTATTTTTCAAACATGGCCTTCTAACTACAGACCAGGAATTATCCCCAATACAAGACAGCAACAGTATTTTACGTAGGAATTCTTCCTCTCAAAGATTGACTTTTTAAAGCATTAAGAACACAGCAACAAGAGCTAAATAATCTGTGTACACCAAGGGCTCTGTGACAGTAATCCCCAATGAGCATGTGTTTGTTGGGTCAACAAGGTATTTACCTCTGCTCTGCCAGACATGCAGCAAGCAGTGAATTGACACTGCAGCCACCATAGGCCAACACAACATCACCTACAATTAACAACTGACTATTGTATGCTACATACACTCTCATCAGGAGCTCAATCAGCTAACATTACATTGTAATTCAACAAAACATACATGTAGTCACCTTGGACCGCATCACCTTTTATAGAAAAGAACTTTCTCAATCATTGTCGGTTTGTCAAAGTGCAGAGTTTTGGCTAATACAATATTCAAAGCATGTCTGGCAGATGTTGGAAGGAAAACACACTTTCTCCGTCCATTTCTATTGTTTTTCAGGTTTGGTGGACAACAGTAGACTTAACTGATGTAAATTTGACATTTGAAACCTCATCCTGTGGATTCAGGTCAAAATTCAATTTTGTGGGATCAATCTGCCAGTAACCTAGCTCTACATTGAAAACAAAGTATGTTTGTCTTCTAAATAGTATTCATGTCAAAAGTATGGTTTAAAAAAGGGCAATGAACAGTACACAATACAGTATATATTGTTCGGAGGACATCACTCTTGGATAAAAAAAACCCTCATAAAATATACCATTAATACTCTATTACTATGAAACCTCTTTAGAGATATCAAAACAAACCCCCAACCCCACAACAGAATGCATTGAATTGTAAAGAATATTCGAAATATACATTCACTAAATCTTCTTGAAGGCAACACTAAACAATTTCACTCAAATGGCCACTTAATGTATATGACACCCAAAAAGTATTGTGGTGAAAGCACTGTCATGTAAATCCCATATTAATGTAGACTGCTAAACAGAAAGCTGTATCAACATAAGAATGACGACAGCCGTGAGAATGTAACCTGTGAAGAGTGTTATGTATTAAGTTATGTGAACCAGGCTGCATACAAGTATAAGGAATACAGACCCTGACACCCCTTCGCTATATATATATACAATCAACATACAATGTCCATATCAACTAGCTTTCACCAGACCTCAAATTTGTCTCACGTGAACGAGCAACAAGGCCCTATTAGGCCACACCAATTCATTTCTTGTCTTGTGGACAAGCCTGTTCTGAAATATGTAGTGTAGCCCTTTATTAGTGACCTGTGTCACAGAGTGTGGGAGCAAAGCCAAAGTAGATCGTGGATGTTGATTATGGTTAAAGCAAAATGCGGATGTATGGTGCTTACAAATCAGTGATGTTATTCAGGACGAATCAAGATAAATCTACACACATACCGAATTTCACTTCATTTGAACGAAAATGTCTGAGTAATGACCATAAAGCGCTTCTACTTTATGGCTGCCATGGCGGCCATATTGAAAATCAGAATTGAACCTTTTGAAGATTTGGGTGTCATCAATGATGGGAAGAAGTATGTGAAGTTTCAGCTTCACTGGCCCAGTGGTTTCTGAGCTGATCCTTACAACGGACGACAGACAACGGACAAACAGGCCATGATATTAGCGCACTTGACATTCAGTTAGGTAAGTTAGAATACAAGCATGTTCAGCAAAATACATGCATCTCAACGTATAAAGGCAACTGAATTGCAGACCATTTTTGCATCATTTGTTAGGCTATGTGACGGATGATTTATTGGTATCACACCTGGATGATTGACCTGAATAGGCTTAACTCTGCCTTCAGCAGTATTTCAGTCATACATGGTTTGCAGATGTGCTGTGGGTTAAAAGGTGTAAGGAATCAATTGGGATTTTATCACTGATAAAAATCAG